CTCACAGCAACCTCCAACTCCTGGGCTCAAGCGAGTCTCCTGCCTCCGCCTCCCAAGTAGCTGGGACCACAGGCGCCCGCCACAACGCCGGGCTATTTTTTGGTTGCAGCCGTCATTGTTGTTTGGCAGGTCCGGGCTGGGGATTTGAACCCGCCACCTTAGGTGTAGGTGGCTGGCGCCTTAGCTGGTTGAGCTATAGGCGCCGAGCCTATCAAATTACTTCTGAGGTTAAAACTCTGAAGTAATTTTCTCTTAGTTGAGGAAGAAGTTTGGGCACTTCGGCATCATACACATAGGACTTTGCAGTTGTGTTTTTCCTTGTCTGTCCAGCCTCATTTGCTGATTCTTTATGTGCATTTTGCCCTTAAATAGTCTCCAGATTCTTTCTTTCTTTTAAATTTGTTTTTTAGGGATGGGATCTTGCTCTGTCACTCACCACTGCAGTGCAGTGGCATAATCATGGCTCGCTGCAGCCTCGAATATCTAAATTGTGGACCCCAGCCATCTTCCTGCCTCAGCCTCCCACGTAGCTGGGACATAGGTGTTTGCCACCATGCCCAGTTATTTTTTTTTTTTTGGAGATGGGGGTCTCATTGTTCTTCCCAGGGTGGTCTCAAACTTCTAGCCTCAAGCAATCCTTTTGGCTCAGCCTCCCCAAAATGCTAAGATTATAGGCATGAACCACTGCAACCAGTCTGTTCTATACTTCCTATTATGGTTTGGTACTTTTAAGATTTCCTGAGATCATATGAGTTCCCTTTAATATGTGTGCAAAAATCTTTTTCTGTCAGAAACTGAAAAGCCTATAATTACTAATATTTATATCTTAATTTACTATGGTAATGTTTACTTTGCACTGTGTTTCATTTGAACTAAAAAGCTTTTACAATAGCTTTAGTTCCTCTATGTTTAACATTTTAATTTAAAGTGGTCTTAAGCGTCTAAATAGGTATCTGTTAAAAGTTTATCTTAATAATGTAACTAATTATTTTTAGCCAACTATATTTTAATAAAACAGCAAAGAGGGTAGGATACTGAGACAGGCCTTTGAAACTTCAACTTCTTTTTCTAAATCATAAAAATAAACATTTATCATAATACAATTTGAATTAAGGAAGAAAAAGTAGCAATTATACATAAATTTGAAAAATGGTATATTGAATTTTTTTTCTATTTTCTTCTGTGATCCCATCAGAATGATTTTAGTTGCTGACAGTAGAAAAGTAATTTCAAACTGGTTTAAATGAGAAAGGTTTATTGATTTCATTGAAAAGTCTGAAAATCGAATCACCTTGACTTGTGTGTTGCTCAGGCTGTACCTTACTGATTCCCCTGGCCTTGCTTCCCCTGGTGTGGAGTACCTGCTCCCCCGGTGTGGAGTACCTGCTCCCCCGGTGTGGAGTACCTCCTCATGCTGGTTGTCCTCTTGCTTGCACCATTGAAAGCATCATCTGTGCTTACATCCTTGGCAAGAGAGGGTTACTTCCTACAACACTGGAGTCCTGAGCTTTTCCCTTGACCTGATTGATTGGCCTGTATCATGTAACACCCCTTCCACCCCAGCAGAGGATAGGTTTAGTCTACCTAAACCATATGGCTACTGTATAGTAGGAGAGAGGTCTTTTTAGGAAGAGATGCCACCTCGGCAATCAGATATTATCTGCTGCTAGTATAGATTCAGATAATGATGTAATTAAATACAAGTAAAGATCAGGAAGAGAAGGTAAGGACTAAAATGAATGAGTTTTATTTAGTGATAGAAACACTATGCCTTATAAAATTATGACTCACTGGTTTAAATTCTAGAAATGTGTTATTCGGGATGCATAAAAACGTCAGGGGATTAAAAATTGTATTATAATTTATTTGAAAGACCAATTATGCCAAAATCTATGTTTATAAGTACCCTTATCGTCTTGGAATGGTGGCTTTAATTGTACATTCAGACATGTTGAAACATGACCTTCTTGTCAATAGGTTGCACAAGGCACAGATCATATCACAGAGCCTTTCAGGAATCCCAACCAAGTGAAAAGACTGACTGCCTTTAAATATCAAGAGTGTAAGATATGTCCATATGACTATAAGAGAGAAATTTAAAGCACTTAGAGTATTAACTTTCCTGAAGATGACTGATATCAACAAAGAACTTGAGATCAAAGATGGAGAAAGGATCACTATATAGCATCCCTTTTGAATTAAGAATATTTATAGTAATTGCTTTGTTGAACAGGTTCAGCTTATAAGTTATCAAAATGCAATTTTTGTTTTTGTGTTTCTTCATCCCCTTATATTTTCTTTGGTAGGAGGAGGGGGAA